CTTGTCTTACACCACTGGATGCGGTGAACTCAGGCGAAAGCCTCCGTATACTTGCACGAGCCCACGAATGGGGGGCGTTCGCATACAGTGCCCTAAGGGATACAAATTTGGGACAAACAGCAACACTGACGTTGCTGTTCCTGATGATGATGATGATGCTTTCCTGCCATAATGTTCTATTTTGAAGCCATAATGTGAAGAAAAAGGTAACACTTGACGGAGGATGGACTTCAGTTTAGTCCACCAAAACCATTCCAGGGTTTTTACACCTCCAAACACACACTCAGACAATCTGGATGGAATTTGACAGCAAGAGTGCCACAAATATCATATCCACTAGTAGTCTAACCCTACAGTGTGCCCACCAAGACGCAGTGTTATTCCTGTTATTCTCATACAGGAGGACGAGTCGCATCGACAGTACCCAAAAATTTCTCAATTTCTTTTGTATCCCCCGGTTAAGTCAAGCGTTGGGCATTTCTCTGCTTCTGTCATTAAATTGGCCACGAAAAAAGACAATGCATGGTTTTATCACTGAATCTTTCGATGAGGAATACAGTCCTTGATAGAAATCTCCAAATAGAAACGACTACTCGCTTTTTAATTTCCTCATTACATATTTTCCGACAACAGCTTCAACCAGTTATGGTTTAGCGACAATAGTTGAGAATATGGAGATATCTAAGTTCCGCTGCTCAAACAGGCCAAGTCTTGCCGCCATTTAACAAAACAGCCCACAGTGTAGCTTATTACAAATGTCCGGTGAGATTCAGGTTTACACCAATTTAACGCCATAGGTGTTTCAAATCAGCAAACGTGACCCGAGCCTCCCAGAACCTTGCGTTGCCCTTATATGTCGTACTAAGGTCAGACGTAATCCAAATGTTAAGTAGGTAAACGCCCCACAATTTCGGGTGCTTCCTCCTCAGCAAGCGTGTCCACTATCATGACAAACGATGGGATACCTTTGGTCATTTCATCCATGCACCTTCTCTTCTTCGAAGACAAGAACCGTGCATTCTGTGTGCTCCAGAACGGCAAGGTTCTCGTCGAAAATTATTTGAAAACCAGTGTTTGTTTCATTATTTAATCGATTTTAAACTTCAGCAAGGATAGAGAATGTGGGTAACAGTGAAGAACACCTTTTTGTTTGGGAAAATTTTTCGAGACTTCTTCACGTGTTCACACACTTTTGAAAGCCTGATAATACAAAAGCTTGTCTACAGGCTTTCGTAGCATTTCTTTCTGGGAGAACAAGCCGGTGTTTAAAAGCCATTGACACCAAAAGTGTAGGTATTTTCTACTTATGATGTTGTTTTGGAAACGGCTGGATGGTAAAAATTTGGCCAACGAAAGCGAAGTTGAGATGGCTTACTGGTTAGAGCACAAGTTTACTTATTGGATCATAAAAGGTACAAATTCATCAGATGGCTTACTGGTCAGAGCACAAGTTTACTTATTGGATCATCAAAGGTTCAAATTCATCCCCTTAACCTAGACCTCATCTGCATAGGCTTAACTGACCTAGAAGTATCTCAGCCCTCGAGCTCCCTTCGAGGGGCATTGCAGCCAAGCTCCATAACAGTGTTACAAGCAAACGGTTATCAACCCTTACTAGGCCGGAATCCTGCTTTGTGCCCTTAAGTCAGTGTTTTACGAGCAATCAAAAGACGGCAGAGACGGAGCGATATGAAGAATCTCTTTATGACCGGGTTTTAGCTGAGTATCTCTTTGATTACCGCACTCAATTTGAGCCCCTTCCTGGAAGTGAGCAGTAGTATCGATTCTACTCAGTTGTCTGAGACAGGCACTTTTTCCGAAATGAAGGTAAATAGATCATAGAAGCGCTTGGTGGTTAATTGCCCATTACTTTCAGCATTACTAGCGGGGGGTTATTCGAATCAGAATAAAAGTGGCGTTTGAGAGAAAATATAACCGTGATGCCGTTCAAGGTCATACTGTAGCCATAGAGTCGAAATAAGTGGCAGATGGTGACCGTGAAATTTTTTCGTTGGAAGTATTAAATCCATCGGTCGAAGCGTCTTTCTCTATTCAAACAGATGAGCTTAACGTTTGGTGATTTCTCTAAGGGGCGGTTTCCGGAAACCGATCGCACGGATCAGTTGGAACAATCTTCCAACATTATTGGTTTTGTTGGTTTAGACTTTCGTGTCCACGGGGCTTTCCAGTTGTTCATACGCCCATTTCTGCTTGACATTTGATTGTTCGTCGAGTCGGGTTGGTTTCGGGACCGGCGATGATGTTTCTTTGATATCAGTGAATCGTTGTAGTTCGGTCTGATATCCCATGTGTGAGTGAGGCTGGTAGCGCTAGGTCACTGAAAAACTTCTAACATTGTGCTAACAGGTGGCGGTGCTGTCCCAGTATGAATTCACATCTG